AGACCATGCTGAGCAGTGTGTGTTGAAGTCACAAGAGAGAACTTTCTGGCCCTTGTTGAATAGTTTCTTGTGAGGACTGGACAACTAGCCCCAATACTTTATGATGGCTAAAAATGCTCAAAGTCCCAAATGGAACAAAAAATGAAATGGCTCTTTTCCTTTTACAGTCTTTACTGAGAGGTCATGGTTTCACGAAGGTTTGATAACGGGAAGATGTAAAGATCTACTCTACACCAAGTGTTCTCCTTATGGAAGCAGACACAGAAGTAGCATTGAACATTGCCTAGTAACCAGCACAGGCAACAGCCATCACCAAAGCCATCTCAGCAGCACAATACATCACAGATCAAGGCTAAGAAGCAGTATGCTAACACACTCCTTGACGGTGATGATGCTAAAGAAAAATCCACAACAAACCAGCCAAGTTCCAAGTTCAAGGAGAAGGATGTGATCATGTTCATGGAACAATGACCCAAAGTCAGGTTGAGCCAGAGAAATTCTGGCAGAATGGATGATCAGAGCCAATGGGAAGCAGACATCGGCTTTCATACTTACAGTGAGTTGGGCCGAGTAGGTTTGACTACATCCAGGTTTGGGTCACTGGAGTTCATATTGGGCTGCAGGCTGCTGCTAGAATTAAGGATGCTGTTTGCACTTGAGGAGACTGATTCCAAACTGGAGTTGATGATGCTGTTCCTTTGCTCCTCTGAAGAAAAGAAACAACAAAAAGGTCCATACAAATGTTAATAGAATGGGGATAGGCTGCTCCCACACATAGAAAAATTTACAAATAAGGAGTCTAAATTGAAATAGCTGAAGCTTTGAAAAAGCACAGAAGAGCCAGGCACAGTAGCATGAATACAGTATGCCTGAATCTTTAATATTCAGAAGGTGGAGGCAGGAGGATTAGTTCATTGCTAACTTGGGCTATTGGAGTAAGACTGTTTCAGAAACAAACAAGTCAACCAAACAATAAAAATGGGACTTGGGAAAGGACAAGATTTAAGAGTGGCAATGGGAGTGGGGATAGTGAGGTAGCTCCATGAGTAAAAGCAGTCTTTCCTCATGTTGAAGGGATGTATACCCTACACATTTCATATGACCCAGGTTCTTTTCTTATGACAGCCTTATCATATGACTTCACCTAACTTATGCCTTCTTGGAATCACTGATGGTAAGGACACAGAGAGGACCTCACAGACAGTTTGTGATCAACCAAAGTTTCTTCTAAAACCCCTGCCTCTAACAATGCCCTAAGTGCTTAGGCCATGCCATACCTCTGAACCCATAGCTCATCACCACAGACTATCAATTTGGCCATTAATTTCCTTAGAACTCAACCCACACCCTAGAAACATCTGTCTGCCTCTGGAGTGATACACTGGAGACTTAATTTCAAGTTAATTCTTTAATAAAGAGAGGTGTAAGAGCTGCAGAGACAACTTGATCCTCATGGTCTAAGCTACTGTATTCATATTTAGAAATCACTAGTAGAGAACCCAAAGTTCCTCCAAGAGTTAGCATCTGCCTGGCAATGTGACCTAAGGGATATCCCACGTATCCTTAAATTTTTTTTCAGTTCAAGAATTTTTTTATTTTTGTTTTATATGTATGGGTGTTTTGCCTGTATGTATGCCTATGTACCACCTGCATGCCCTAGTGGATTCCTGGAACTAGAGTTGCAGACAGTTGTATGCAGCTATGTGTATACTGGGAATTGAACCTGGGTTCTCTATGAAAGCAGCTGGAGCTCATAACCCCTGAGCTATCTTGCTCCAGGCTCTGACCTCAGAGTCTAGATGAATCTATGAAATGGGAAGAATGAGAACTGCCCTGTACAGCTCATGAGTCGTCATGAGGATCAAGTGGGATCATATGCTGGAATGTGTTTTATAAACATTGAAATACTGCTCAAAGAGAAGAACTTTCTGTTTCTTCTCATCTTAAAAACCTTGGAAGCAAAAACTGGAAGATCTGGGGGTTGATGCAGCTAAATGGCATGGGTACCACTGGTGGAGCAACATGTTACAGACCCAGAATGTCCATTCTCCCCTCATCCCAGACTCACTGGTTACAGCAAACTGGTGTTGCTGGCCATTATTTCATTTGTCAGAAATCAATAGGTTAATTCTTCTGGAGCCTTCATGTATGAAGGCATGCTATATTGCAAAGGGACAGACTGTAATTGCTGATATATTCATTTCTAGATGAACATTTGAATTCAGGTCTCTTTGGGGCAATAAAGAAATGAGAGCATTAAACACTTTCCTTTGGGGGCTGGAGAGGTGGCTCAGTAGTAAGGGAAGGGAAGGGGAGGGAAGTAGGGAAGGGTGGAGAGGAGGACTGAAATAGGCTGACTACCAGGGGCAGTGAGCAGGGACTTAATACCGCCAATAAGAAAATGAATTCCTGCCTTGTACAGTAGTGAGCACGGAGAAAATGGAGTAGACACCAGCAGAAGGGATAAGCCTGAGTACCCCAAGAGCCCAGAAGAGAAGACTGAAAACCTCTGGGTAGAAGTTTTTCTGCTATGCTGACAGTCTTGATTGAGGGCAAGTAGGAAGGTGGATAGGAATGTCAAGATTATTCCAGAGAGAGCATCGGGGAGTAAAATCAAAAGCAAACTGAACGTTTCAATGGTTACGGCAAACTGCACCAAGACAAACTCTAAAGCATTTGGAATAAATTAAGAAATAAAGGAAAAATGACTCAGTAATGTCACTTAAGACAGGGAACCCTCCCCCTGTGGGCAAAGGAATACTTGCTTCTGAGACAAAAAGCAGACTAGAAGACTTCCTCCAATGAAAAGGAGACACCCCTTCACATAAGGGAACTAAACATCTGAGTCCAGGATGACAGGCCCACTCTGGCAGCCCCATCAGAAGCTAGAATGGGGATATCTAGTTGCTGGAGGAAAACGGATTATATGCTAGGGGACGTCAAAGGAGTACAGCAACCAGTCAAACCAACAGGATCACAGAGGACTATGTGAATGACAAAAACAGAAAGAATGCAGCTCTCAGGGGTGCGCAAAGCTGGCTGGAGTAGGTGAGAAGGCTGGCCTTCCTCAAATTTGTTGTCAGTGAATGCCTCTTTGCATATTAGTCACCAAAAGTAGGAGCAAGGGAATGAGGAAATGGAGAAATAAATTGTCAATTGTAAACATGTGGCAAGACTATGCTGGATGCTTTTATGAAAATATATTTTAAAGCACTAACAGAAGATACAGACTTACTATTAATGACATAAACTTCTCAAGGGTAGGCATAGGCTATCTGGCCACACAGTGTCTATTAAAATGACCTGAGAGGTCATAGGTCACCATACTTTTCCACTGTATAGTTCATGCATTCTGCACGCCAAAGCCCTATGAATGGTCACACACCAAATCAAAATAGAAGAGAATAATACGCAATCAAATTTTCTTCATCCAGAACAGAGAGAGGTAGCTGTGTGGGACTGAATTTTGCAGGTGCTTCAGGCAGGGACCTTGAAGCTGAAGCACTGGTGAGTGTGGGCAGCGTTTATGTTTTCTGTACAAATCAAGAGCGGAAAACACAAGTATGCAACCAAATCACTGCAACTAAAAAAGGAAAGCCACAGAGTAATTTTGGTGATGTTGTACTTGTTCTGGGGATTGCCATGGAAACATGGAAGCTAAGCTCCAGCACTTTTCATATTTACTAAGTGACTCCAACTCACTCTAATAAATACCCCATCCAACACAGGAGGCGGGATGTGTTTATCACAGAGCCCACAGGCAAAGGCTGGGAAACACAGAGCCAAGCCAAATGCACAGGTCTTGGCAGGCTTGAACTTGTCTGGCCCTCTGAACACACAGAACTGAAGGGTAAACACGAAACATAGATCTTCAACACTTTAAGGGATATTTCCCACTGGCAGAAGCCTGTCAAAATTTGGGCTAATATATCATTTTTCTATAACACAGAATACTAGAGGTTGAAAAGAAAGACTTATGATATCTCACAGAGACAAATCTCTCCACCTCCCTTCCCCTCTTTCCAAGTTCAAACACGAAATGAGGAGAAAAGGGAGTTACCAGACAGAAGCTTTACAGAGACCATGAGTTTTACACAGAGAACAGAGAAGCACAAGCAAAACCCCCAGAGGCATTCTTGTGCTATAGCTGGGAGAGAGGTGCACTCTCCTCTGTTTGTCAGAGTTTTGCAATGAAGTCTGTGATGCATCACCTTGACAAGATAGGATGATAATAGCATGGCAGCTCAATGAATTTTGCAATAAAAATGATGAATGCACAGCAGTTACTGAATTTGCCATTTCTGGGAAACACCCAAGAACATGGGAAGCTTGGACCCAGACTTGGTGACTGTGCAGTGATTCTTTTTTACACTATAGCTTTCGTGCCTGAGAGCAAGCCAGAAGAAAAGCCAAAGTGGTCTGATCTCATGCTGACTTGGTCTCAGTCCCTGTGGTAAAATTAATCATGTGAACAGTTTGTAAAATATGTTTAGGCATATAAAAGCAGCTTGGGCAAGGAGCGATGGAGTAAACAAGGGTCTGATGAGTGAGAAAGAAGGATGGCCAGTGTACAGCTTGATCATTTCTGCAGCACTTGATACTGTGACTTTCACCAGGTTGCTTCTAGCTTGGTCCACTGTAGGCTGGCTGACTTATGCACTCTCTTTCTGTAGTGTTCATAATAACATTTTCCTTTCACTAGAAGAAAATATCAATAAAAGTAGACTTTAAGAAAGAGTGGAGAAGGCACAGTGGCTGGCCTGCAAGTGAACTGACTCACAGGAATGAGGCATAGAGGCACAACTGAGAAGCCTGGCAG